TCCTCCCCGCCAAGCCCCGTGCCCCACGGCCCGCTCTGCCCCGCCGCTGCGGGATGGCTCAGCAAAATTAAAAACAAAACAAAACAAAACAAACGATTACTTTTTCCTTCTTTTTATTGGGAATCAATATTAAACTAAAACCAAAGATCTTCAACTTTCAAAGCTTTTTCTGGAACATGCCCCAGCAGGAGCTCATCTCTTGAATCACCTGGACCAGGCATCTCAGCTCAAATATCCACCATGTCCACCAGAGCAGACAGGTGGAGCCCAGAGGCAACTTCACCCTCCTTGGTGGCTTCAAGGAGCTGTTCAAACTGTTTCACTCTGTCTGACAGCGTGGGGCTTAACTCCTTCACCAAAAGTTCACATCCCTCTTCACTCCCAGCCTGGGCAGAAGAAAAAGAGATGAGACTGAGAAAGAATTACCCAGTACCCACAAGGGACTTCTCAGCTCACTGGCTGTCCCCTGACTTTTAAGAATGACCATGGAGGTCAGCACCCTCCACCCCTGAGGAGGTACAGCAAGAACAGCATATTCTGCTATTTCTGTCCCCAGAAATAACTGGGGGAAGCTAAGTTGCAGTGCAGCAGCATCCCAGGGGATATCGCTATGACTGCCAGCAGCAGAAAGCATTAACACCTGTGAGGAACTCTTATTCCAGATCTGCAGAAAGCATTCCCTCTTTTTTCAATTCATCCCCCATTTTTTCAATTCTTGATTTCCCACGTCTATCCAACACTGCACACCAAGGTAACTCCCACTGAAGGTTCTGCAACTACAGCAGGTTTGGCACCTGCGCTCCTCAGAGCCACAGTTAATTCTCAGTATCACCCTTTCTTACCTCTTGAGCAGGCGACACAGGACTTTTCATCAATGGACAGGTGACAGGTGGGGTGGAGACTAAAGACTGGGGGAGGTAGAGAGGAAGACCTACAAAATCACCAAGGGGCTCAAGGTCCTCAGCTAGGCACTGGTGCAACCGTTCTTCGAACCTGGACAGAAAGATCAAGAGAACCGGTCAGACTGCAGGCTGGCTTTGTTCTTCTAACCAAGATTCTGAGGTTCAGAGGTGTCTGCAAGAAAATCTGATGCTTGCAGTCATTTCCAACACTGTCTGACATACCCCACTGCAATGACAAAAACCCACTGGAGGAGGCTGTGGTACAGAAAGGATCCAGTCAGACTGAAGACACTCAACTGATGGGAAAGGCAGCAAAGAAACACCTGGGCCACCCTCAAGAGTTTTAGTTCTTCAGCTTTGTGATCTGTGTTGCTACAGGCACCAAACTGACATCCCCAAGTGGACTTCACAGATATTTGTGATACTGCAGGACACACAGGCTGCTGAACACTCTGGACTCCTTTAGCATCAGTGGCTTGACTGACGAGACAGTTTCCAACCATTCCTCAAACCTCCAAGTATTTCTACCATCCTGGACTGTTCCTGTGATGCAAGTAGGAGCCAGCAGGGAACTGCACTGATGTGCTTGATGAAATTAGATGAGACTGGAGATAGTCTGGGCTGTCTCCTAGCAGCTTCCCATTACATACAAGTTAGAAATTGTTTACAACCCTGTGCTGGAGCTGCAAGGAAAGGATGCTGCTCTGGGAACTTATACAGACCCACAGACTGGTTTGGGTTGGAAGGGACCTTAAAGCTCATCCAGTTCCAACCCCCCTGCCATCAGCAGGGACA